TCAACATTTACATTTTAGCATTCGATAAAAGTTGAAATTTACTTTAGTCCCTAAACTTCCAAAATATTAAAATATAGCACATATACATTAAATTATATTCTATGAAATTTGGGGACATTACATCAGCGCTTGAGTGGCGCAACACAAATTGAAGCAGAATCATTGGTGCTCACTTTCGCAACAACTGCCCACTTGGAGACAGGCTACTGCTCGCTTGGTTCATACCTGGTGCTTGGGAGGCGATATTATCTAGCAAGAATCTTGATTTGATTTTAACTGTGATTTTCAATCCCTTTTCACCCTAAACACTATCCATTATAAATACACAAGCCATGGAATATTCCAAAGTGTGGTTGAACATTATATTCATTATAGAGATCATTATTTGAAGATCATAAACTCATTTCAAAAGGTCTCTTGATTCAATCACAAATATATTTAATATTTTCCCATTTATTGTTTTCCATTGGTTAAGCTTTTATTTTAAGTCAAGAGAACATTATTTGAAGATCCATTACATATTCTAATAAATCTCTTGCTTTAGCCATTCAAACACTAAACAACCCTCTGCCTTCATCTATAAACCTTGAGAAATCTTAAGCTTGGAGAAGAGGTGTTTGGAGTTCTAGTGTTGAAGAATAAAGGTTCGTTCTTGGTGGTCCAATAGGAGAAAAGTGGCCCATGGTTTTAGGAAGTGTGGGCATGCACAACCACCAGAGTTAGTATTTGGACTAAATGTAAGTTAACTTTTCTATTGGATCGTTTACTGGCAAGTTTGCCAAGAGGTTATTTTATCCCGAGGATCTTCATCCATGATCAATTCTTGATGTTATTTATTTTATTGATTTGATCTAAATATTTATTTGATTGACACTTAGGATTAATTTAATTGAATTAATTACCTTAATCATCTAGACATAATTAATAAATGACTTGGTGTTTTTAATTTGTTTACTTTCTCATTTGGGTCTAACAATAATAATATCCTACAACCAGTGTTAGCACATTACTTGTTTAGGAAAATTTCAACTACTAATAATGAATAGAATTATTCGTAACAGAAATATCTAATCCTAGCCGATAGAAAAGCTCATTGGAACTTAAGAAAACATTTAGACTATTGTTTTAAATCTCAAGTTGCACGAGTTGTATAATGTATCTTCTCTTGAGTCATTTCTTAACATAGAAAACTGACCTGAATAAGACTTGATGTTGCAGTTCATGCCATGAAAAGAAAAATATTAGGAAAACTTTAGTTTATTCTTTATGTCAAATTGGTAAGTTCTTTGTTAAATTATGTGACAAGTCTTAGATTTAGAGTTCCTCAATACAAGCTAAAGAAAATATTGCGCGACAGTTTGTGTGCACAAATCTCAAAATATTGCACGACAGTTAACCCCGCTGAAAATCAAATATCTGTTTGCATTAACAATCAAAGTGTAAAGGATTAAGTGGGCCACCTCAAATGCTTTAAATGCAACATTCCATTTTTTCAGAAAACATAATATGAAAATTTCTCAAGCCGTACCAGTTTAGCTAGATTTTTTTTTATGTATATATAAACATAACAATGTGGAAAACTGACCTGAGTACGACCTGATGTTGCGGTTCCCAACCACAAAAAGAAAAATATTAGGAAAAATTTAGTTCATTGTTCATGTCAAATTGGTAAATTCTTTGTTAAATTATGTGACAAGTCTTTGATTTAGATTTCCTCAAGACATGCCAAAGAAAATATTGCGCGATAGATTGTGTGTACAAGTCTAAAATTTTTGTATTAGCGATTTGTTTAATGTCAAACACAACTTTTTCTAGCAATAAAAAGCCAAAATTAACCCGCTGAAAATCAAATATCTGTTTGCATTAATAGTCAAAGTGTAGAGGATGAAGTGGGCTACCTCAAATGCTTTAAATGCAACATTCCATTTTTTTAGAAAACATAATATGAAAATTTTCCAAGTCGTACCAGTTTAGCAAGATTTCTTTTTATGTATATATAAACATAACAATGTGGAAAACTGATCTGAGTACGACTTGATGTTGCGGTTCCCTACCACAAAAAGAAAAATATTAGGAAAACTTTAGTTTATTCTTCATGTCAAATTGGTATGTTCTTTGTTAAATTATATGACAAGTCTTAGATTTAGATTTCCACAATATTACTAAAGAAAATATTGCACGATAGTTTGTGCGTACGAATCTCAAATTTTTCTATTACCAATTTGTTTAGTGTCAAAGACAACTTTTTCTAGCAATAAATAGCCAAAATTAACCCACTGAAAATCAAATATCTGTTTGGATTAACAATCAAAGTGTAGAGGATGTGGGCTACCTCAAATGCTTTAAATGCAACATTCAATTTTTTCAGAAAACATAACATGAAAATTTTCCAAGTTGTACTAGTTTAGCAAGATTTTTTTTAAAGTATGTATAAACATAACAATGTGGAAAACTGACCTGAGTACGACCTGATGTTGGGGTTCCCTGCCACAAAAAGAAAAATATTAGGAAAACTTTAGTTTATTCTTCATGTGAAATTTGTAAGTTCTTTGTTAAATTATGTGACAAGTCTTAGATTTAGATTTACTCAATAAAAGCTAAAGAAAATATTGCGCGACAATTTTTGTATTAGCAATTTGTTTAGTGTCAAATACAACTTATTCTAGCAATAAATAGCCAAAATTAACCCGCTGAAAATCAAAGATCTGTTTGCATTAACAAGCAAAGTGTAGAGGATGAACTGGGCTACCTCAAATGCCTTAAATGCGACATTCCATTTTTTCAGAAAACATAATACGAAAACTTTCCAAGTTGTACAGTTTAGCAAGTTTTTTTTTTTTTTTTTTTTTTTTTATGCATATATAAATATAGCAATGCAGAAAATTGACCCCGTAACCTGATGTTGCAGTTCCCTACCACGAAAGGAAAAATATTAGGAAAACTTTAGTTGATTCTTCCAGTCAAATTGGTAAGTTCTTTGTTAAATTATGTGAGAAGCCTTAGATTTAGATTTCCTCAATACAAGCTAAAGAAAATATTGTGCGACAGTTTGTGTGTACAAATCTCAAATTTTTGTGATAGCAATTTGTTTATTGTCAAAGCACAAATTATTCTAGCAATAGATAGCCAAAATTAACCCGCTGAAAATCAAAGATCTATCTGCTATGACAATCAAAGTGTAGAGGATGAAGTGGGCTACCTCAAATGCTTTTAATGCAACATTCCATTTTTTCAGAAAACGTAATATGAAAATTTTCCAATTTGTACAGTTTAGAAAGATTTTTTTTATGCATATATAAACATGACAATGCAGAAAACTGACCTGCGTACGACCTGATGTTGCAATTCCCTGCCAGGAAAAGAAAAATATTAGGAAAACTTTAGTTTATTCTTCCAGTCAAATTGGTAAGTTCTTTGTTAAATTATGTGACAAGCCTTAGATTTAGATTTCCTCAATACAAGCTAAAGAAAATATTGAGCGACAGTTTGTGTGTACAAATCTCAAATTTTCATATTAGTAATTTGTTTAGTGTCAAACACAACCTTTCTAGCAATAAATAGCCAAAATTAATCGGCTGAAGATCAAAGATCTATTTGCATTAAAAATCAAAGTGTAGAGGAGGGAGTGGACCACTTCAAATGCTTTAAATAAAACATTCCATTATTTCTGAAAAGATAATTTGAAAATTTTACAAGTCGTCCCAGTTTAGCAAGAATTTTTTTAGGCATAAATAAGCATAACAATGCGGAAAACTGACCCAAGTACGACTTGATGTTGCAGTTCCCTGCCATGAAAAGAAAAATATTGGGAAGACTTTAGTTTATTCTTCGTGTCAATTTGGTAAGTTCTTTTTTAAATTAGGTGACAAGTCTTAGATTTAGATTTCCTCAATACAAGCTAAAGAAAATATTGTAGGAGAGTATGTGTGTACAAATCTCAAGTTTTGTTATTAGCAATTTGTTTAGTGTCCAACACAACTTTTTTCTAGCAATAAATTGCCAAAATTAACCCATTGAAAATCAAAGATCTGTTTGCATTCAAAATCAAAGTGTAGAGGATGGAGTGGGCCACTTCAAATGCTTTAAATGCTATATTCCATTTTTTCTGGAAATAAAATATGAAAATTTTCGAAATCATCACAGTTTAGCAAGATTTTCTTTATTTATACATAAACATAACAATGTATAAAACTTACCCGGGTATATATAAACATAACAATGCGCAAAACTGACCACAGTACGACCGAATGGTGCAGTTCCCTGCCACGAAAAGAAAAATAGTGGGAAAATTTTAGTTTATTATTCAAGTCTGATTTGTAAGTTCTTTGTTAAATTACGGACAAGTTTTAGATACAGATTTCCTCAATATAAGCTAAAGAGAATATTGCACTATAGTTCGTGTACAAGTCTCAATATAAGCTAAAGAAAATGTTGTATGATAATTTGTTTGTACGAATCTCAAATTTTTACATTGATATTTTTATTTATTGTCAGGCACAACTTCGTCTAGCAATAAACTGCAAAAAATAGCATGCTGAAAATCACGAATAAGTTTGCATCAACAATCAAAGTGTCAAGAATGGCCAGGGCTGCCTCAAATGTTTTATATGCACCGTTGCATTTTTTTTTCTCAAAATATAATATGAAATTTTTTCTAGTCATCCTAGTTTAGCAATATTCTTTTTATGTATATAAAAACATGACAAAGTAGAAAACTTACCTGAGTAAAAGTTGATCCTGCCTGTGGCTGCCCCGAAAAGAAATATTAGAAAAACGATAGTTTATTTTTCATGTCAACTTGGTAAGTTCTTGTTAAATTACGTAACAAGCCTTAGATTCCTTAATATACGTAAAGAAAAACTTTGACGATAGTTTGTGTGTAGAAATCTAAATTTTTTTTATTCCCCATTTTTTTGGGGTCAAACACAACTTCGTCTAGCAATAAATTGCCGAAATTAACATGCTAAAAATCAGAGATCTGTTTGAATGAACAATCAAAGTGTCGAGAATGGTGACGGCTACTTCAAATGCTTTAAATGCTACATTCCATTTTTCCTGAAAATATAGTATGAAAAATCTCCAAGTCGTCGTCGTCCTGAAAGATTTTTTTTAAGTATATATAAACATAACAATGCGAAAAACTGACCTCTTCATGACTTGATGTTGCAGTTCCCTGCCACGAAAAGAAAACTATTAGGAAGACTTTAGTTTATTCTTCATGTCAATTCGGTAAGTTCTTTTTTAAATTATGTGACAAGTCTTAGATTTAGATTTCCTCAATACAAGCTAAAGAAAATATTGCAGGAGAGTATGTGTGTACAAATCTCAAATTTTGTTATTAGCAATTTGGTTAGTGTCCAACACAACTTTTTCTAGCAATAAATTGTCAAAATTAACCGCTGAAAATCAAAGATCTGTTTGCATTTACAATCAAAGTGTAGAGGATGGAGTAGGCCACTTCAAATGCTTTAAAGTCTATATTCAATTTTTTCTGAAAAGAAAATATGAAAATTTTCGAAATCGGCGCAGTTTACTTAAACATAACAATGCGGAAAACTTACCCGAGTACGACCTGATGCTTCAGTTCCGTGCCACTGAACTAAAAATATTATGAAAACTTTAGTTTATTCTTCACGTCAAATTGGTAAGTTCTTTGTTAAATTATGTGACAAGTCTTAGATATAGATTTCCTCAATATAAGCTAAAGAAAATATTGCACAATACTTTTTGCACAAGTCTCAATATAGGCCAAAGAAAATGTTGTATGATAGTTTGTTTGTACAAATCTCAAATTTTTACACTGATATTTTTATTTATTGTCTGACAAGACTTCATCTAGCAATAAATTGCTAAAAACAACACGCTGAAAATCAAGGATATGTTTGCATCAACGATCAAAGTTTAGGGAATGGCCAGGGCTGACTAAAATGCTTTAAATGCAGCATTGCATATTTTTCTCTGAAAATATAATATGAAAAAATTTTCTAGTCGTCCCAATTTTGCAAGATTTCTCTTTATGTATATAAAAGTTTAACAACGTAGAAAACTTACCCGAGTAAACATTGATCCTGATGGCTGCTACCAGGAAAAGAAATATTAGAAAGGCTTTACTTTATTCTTCATGTTGAATCAGTAAGTTCTTTATTAAATTACGTGACAAGTCTTAGGTTTAGATTTCCTCAATATAAGCTAAAGAAAAAGCTTGACGATAGTTTGTGTGCACAGATCTCATATTTTGGTGTTAGCAATTCGTTTAGTGTCAAGCATAACTTTGTCTAGCAATGAATTGCCAAAATTAACACACTGAAAATCAAAGATCTGTTTGCATGAACAATCAAAGTGTTGGGAATGGAGAGTGCTACCTGAAACGCTTTGGCTTCTGCATTCCATTTTTCTTGAAAGTATAATTTGGAAAATCTTCAAGTTGTCCTATTTCGGAAAGATTTTTTTGAGTATATATAAACATAACATTGTGGAAAACTGACCATAGTACGCCCGAATGGTGCAATTCCCTGTCACGAAAAGAAAAATAGTAGGAAAACTTTAGTTTATTCTTCAAGTTAGATTCGTAAGTTCTTTGTTAAATTACGGACAAGTTTTTAGATATAGATTTCCTCAACATAAGCTAAAGAAAATTGATAAGTGTGTTTTTGCACACTTATTTAGGTCACAAACATCACTTAATAATGAGTAAAATGATTGAATTGTGACTTAATCTCATTATATTTGTAAATTGTAGGGAACACCGATGAACATGGTGAAATTCAGAAGAAAAGAGCCGAAAAAAATTAAAATGGAGCAAAGTGATAGTTCGGGGACCAAGTTGCAAATAATCCATAGATGAGACTGGAAATGGAATGAAGATTCAAGAGTTTTAGAGGTCAATCGGATGAGGAAAGGAGTGAAGAGACGAAATATGATCGAAGTATTATCAAGTATCAACTTTCAAGCGAAAACTATGCTTGTGATTTTTAGTCTCTAATTGAGATCCATTTTTGACATAGTAAAAATTAGAATTTGAGGAAGCCTATTTCTATCAAAAGTGTAGATCTTTGAGTTTTCTTCCTAATGCACTTTGAGTCACTTCAATCGAAAATCAGAAGAGAAAGTTATAACCAAAATACTAAAAACTATCCAACGGAAAGAATGGTATAACTATGCGGTCGCATAGAAGCATCCCGAGAATTTTTTCTCAAATTTTTTTACTCTATGCAACAGCATAGAAATGTACTATGCGGTCGCATAGAACAAGATTCGGGGACGATTCAGCAGTTTCCTTATTTCGCCGAAACTCTTATGGAAAGGAGATTTTTAGGGTTCTATATAAACTAAAACTCGAACAGAATGAGGGGACGCCACTTTTACAGAATTGGAGGAGATTATACACAATTTGGAGGATTTGGAGAGGAAGAACAAGGCAAAAATAAGGCAATCCACTTCAAGATTCAAGATTTCACTTCAAGAATCAATTGGGTGATGTTCTTCATTGGTTTTAATTATTGTTTTTCTTTATTTCCCATTATGTTAGGCTAGATTTTCATGTGCTAGGATTTGCAATGAACCTTATAGTATGAACCTTTAATCTTGAATTTTATTAATTTGACGTTAGAACCTGTTTTTAATTATTGAATGATTGACATGGATTTTATTTTCTCTACAATTATATGCGCAATAGTTGTATGAGCTTTGTGGCTTGTTTTACCCTCGAGAGATGGAAAATAAGTTAGACATTATGTTAATTATCGTGAAGTTCGATAGGGGATAGAAATATACCGCTATGCTTTATGTGATCTTTAAGTATTCAAAAATCTTTAATACATTTTTATATGTTCGCATCCGTCATAGAAATATAGTCGGATAACATGTGAAAATAGGTTAATTCTACTCGAGAGAGATTGTTAAACAAATTAGGAATATTGGTATTCATAATTGAATCGTGTTGTAAATTTTATAAAATTCGGATTAAAGAGGATTGATATAAGGGGATTCGGGATCCTAGTACGCATTTCATTATCATATTTTTATAAAACTTGCATTTAGTTATAATCACGCATTTAATTTAGTTAATTTAGGCTTTATATTTATAAGTAGGTTATTAAATCATAATTTAGTTAACTAAAATATCAAGAATTTCTATTGTTTCGGTTAAGGTGACGATAGGTAAAATTGAACTAATCAATCTCTGTGGTACTATATTCGGACTCATTTAATCCACTTTATTACTTGTCAACGAACTGTACACTAAGAAATAATTTCGCGAACAAAAATGTTGTATGATTGTTTGTGCAAATCTTTTGGTTTGGAAAGATTTTTTTTAGTATATAAAAATAGAACAGTGCAGAAAACTAACCTCTTCACGAGTTGATAGGGCATCTCGATTACTGTCCATTGATTTGAAGAATTCCCCTGCTAATTCCTGAATTTTTGGACAGCCTGTTTGATAATGAGCTTCTGCAGTATCTTGTAATTCTTAAATCTCTCTCCCTCTCTCTCTTTCTCGCTACAAATAGTTTAACCGGAGAATAGAAAATGTGTCTCTAGGCAGCTGTATTGCAAATTCGCAATTATGTATATAGAAATAAGCCCCTGTGGAGCTATTTTCTTTGTTTTTTCTTTTTCACAAAATTTCATAGACACGCATTATCAGAAGGGCAAAATAGACTTTGAATCGTGTAACCACTATTGTTGGCCTTTCAATCTTTGAAAGTTGCATAATTGACTATTTTTTACACTAAGTCCGATTTTAGTTTAAGTCAAAATCAACAACAATCAAGTATTTCATGGGATCCACTTCCTTTCAACTGCATATTTTATCAATTTTTATCAAAATCTACTAAAAATTTAATTATAATTCCCATTAAATAGAGGCTAAATATATTCAAAAATAGATATAGTTGGCAGGTTCACCTGATCTTATCATCTCAAGCTTTGAATGACTTTACTATTTGAGTAGTGTAATTTGCCATTATCGATGTTACACTATGACCATTTTAGTTGTCATTATGTAATAGACTCAATTAAGTCCATATTTGATTTTAATTAAAATCTGATTTTAATGTCAAGTCAAAGTTCCCAATTAATTTTGATTTTACATTTTCTAAGATCCATATCTTTTCAACTATACATTTCATTATTTTTTATCAAAACATACTTAAAATTTTATTATAAACTACATCAAATGGGGCTTAAATGTAGAATTATGTAATAGTATTTCTCATTTAATTTTACTTAAAATTAAAATTTTAATTTAAGTTCAAGTCAACAATTAATTTAACTACATATTTAATTAGACTCAAAACTTTTCAACTATATATTATATCAACTTTCATTAAAATTTATTAAAAACATAATTTTAATCCCTACAAACAGGAACTCAATATCATCTAGATTGATTTTATAATATCAATAATAGCATTAATCTCCATGATTACTAGTATATTTGATATTTTGATTGGCTTAAATGCCGACATAAGCTAGACTCCACATTGTGGTAGGTGTTAAAGATAAATTAATGAATCAATGAGCTAGACTCCACATTGCGTTAGGTATTAAAGATAAATTAAATTAAAATCAATTGTCGATGCTACTTTTTTCTATTTTTAATTAAAAATCTTGATAGAAAACTTTTTGGAACTTTCGGTAAAGCTTTCCAATTTTTAAAATTTTTTTTAGTTAAATTTAAAATTTCAAAGAAACTTCACAGAAATTCTTGGGAACCTTTTTGACCAAAAAGTATTTGAAAACATGAAATATGAATTGAACATTATTATGGATTTTTGGCGGGTTTAAACTAAAAATTAAGTTGCCCCTATTTGACAACCATTATTCTCAAAAAAATGTTGTCAATAGTGATTTTTAGGAGAACGTGTGGTGGAAAAGTAAAGAAAAACTGTGAGTTTACGTGTAAAATATTTTATTTTGTGAATGTGTGGTTGAAAACGATTATGTATTAAAAAGAATTTTGAAATAATAGTTGTCAAATATGGGCTTAGTTTGGGGCTTCAACTAAAAATAAATATAATCCATAACTGTACTTCTTATACTGCAAAAAGACTTAGAATGTATTACATTGGTGTGAGCCGTGGCAACGGGAGGTGGGGGGGGGGGTCATGAAACTGGGCTAATGATGTGAGAAATGTGTGAAGTGGGATTTCCAAACAGTGTAGTTTGAGAGAGTATGGCCAAATTGGT